AAATATTCATTCTGAAATTGAACCTGAAAGACATAGCCATGTTGTAAAGGTTGTGAAAAAAGAATAGCGATCAGAAATATTAGAAATTTTACTGGTAATGATATTGGAAGCATCACTAGGTTTTTCAGTAAGAACATTACTGGTAAGGATTCTACTAGGATGTGTATCGGCAGCACTTTTATTATAACAGATATCAGGGACATGACTAGTACTTGTGGTGGATGCACAACCAGGACTTGTAGTGGGGGTACAAACAGTACTTGTAGTAAAAGCATGACCAGTACTTGTGGCAGAGACACAACTAGAACTTGTGGTAGAGACACAACCAGAACTTGTAGCAGAGACACAAACAGAACTTGTAGCTGGGGCACAAACAGGACTTGTAGTAGAATATGAGCAGGACTTGTAGCAGGAGCACAAGCAGAACTTGTAGTGGAGACACAAGCAAAACTTGTAGCAGGTGAACTACACGAACTTGCATTGAAGGGACCAGCAGTGGTAGCACCACTAGCACTAGTAGAGCTACTAGAAAAACTACAAGACATGATGAGGGAGGTTATATCAAAGATCAAAGGTGAAATACACCAACTAGGAGCTCTAGCCAGTGGTGTAGAATTATTTGCAACTTTATCACTTTTCTACTGATTCCTTTTCAACTTATTTTGATTTTGTTCTATAGCAGTTTTTTCACATAGCAACAAAATCTGTTCTAACTAAAAATATATTAAAATATATTAGTACTGATATCTATATTTATATGATTATCTATTGTAATAATTACAGTTTCTGATCGCTATTCTTTTTTCACAACCTTTACAACATGGCTATGTCTTTCAGGTTCAATTTCAGAATGAATATTTTGCCTTTCTTCTTTTTTAGCCGGTTCAGTACCTATTTCAGATACCTTATTACTATGGTATTTGCTTTTTCTTATTATTTTTTAAGTTATTTAGAGCCTGTTGCTCTGGTACATCAAGAGGGAGAAGATTTGTGAGATGCACACTATTTGTTTTTTGTAAATGGATAAACCCCTTTTTTTTAATGGTTAATTTTCTGAGAAGCATAATTAAAATTTTACTGATAGTCATATAAGCAAAATATTAATGCAAAAAAAAAAAGTTTTATTGCAGTCATCCTTTGATTTTCTCAGTTTTTTGCAAGTGATTGCATATTTCTATCAGAGTCTTGTTTTTTTAAGTGCTTTTCACACTGATGCAGGTGGTATTCTCTAATAATTTTGAGTATTTGTGATCTTTCACCTGGTACCTTCTTATATTACATTTTACTATTTTAAAGGAATTTTTGAGGAATTCTTGTTTGAATTCTGACCAAACTTGAAATGGGTCAGGTTTTTCAGATTCTTCTAATCCAGAAAATAAAATCTTAATGTCATTCTATTATAATAAATTTAAATTAATCAATAAATAAAAGCATCTGATATCTATACAGTTCACTTTAATAAAATTAACTGGTATTAAAGCAATATGAGAAAATATCTAAATACAAATGAAATATGGATAATTATTAATGTCATTATACCCTTAATACTTTTTTTGTTTTAGGGAAAAGTGATTGGGCCTTTTTTTAGAAGCTTTTTTGTTACCTCATTTGTTTTTGTTATTTCTGCTACTGCAGTTTCTGCTGCTGTAGTTTCTGCTGCTATAATTTCTGCTATTGTTGCTGCTGTTGTTTATACTGCTATTGTTGTTACTATCATTGCTACTATCATTGCTGCTGTCATTGCTGTTGTCATTGCTACTGTTACTGCTGCTGTTGTTGTCATTGTTGCTATCAGGAGTTACCAAATAGGCCTTTTTTCTATATATCTTTTTTCCATGTATACTTTTTATAAAATTATCAATTTTATCATCAAGGTTTTTAATGTCAGTCCTTATTACCTTTATTTTATCTACAAAAAAAAAATGTCAAACTGCACGATAAAAAAAACTGATAGATATTAAATATCTGTATCTTATAGAAGTACACTTAATATACATATATGCTACAAATCTTTACCCGATATATAATATCACTAAATACTAAAAACATCAATGTTGTTACCTTTATTTGCAGTATTATTTGCAGTATTGTTTCTAAGAGAAATATTTGAATAATGTAAAGAATTCATATTAGAAGTGTTGTAGTAGTATCGGCTACAAAAAGATGTGTTTAAAGTAATATGATAAGTGTACTACTTATTTTGATAAATAAAAATATAAATTTGTATTTTTTTTATTACCTTTAAAGGAAGTAGAAAAAAAGAAAAAAAGAGTATACACCAGAATTAATTATTTTTTGTTTTCTTATATAGCAATAGATGTAAAAAAATTAATACATCAAAACAAAGCATATACGTCATCATTATATATTTGTCAAGAAAAAAATTATACTTTGGGGCTTTAAATTTATAATCACATTTTGCCAAACTCTGAAATTTATAATGAGACCTACTAGGGTTAAAAATTGTTTAATTGTCACATAAATCATAATATAAAAAAAACAATCTATAAATCTTTTTTTAATACAGTGTAATGTGTGACAATTAAGCAACCTGGATACATATACTCTAAACTTAAATATCAATTTTTGGGGGAACAAACAGAATTGGCAGCAATGAGATACAATCTCTGCAAAATCAAATAGATTGGATCCAGTAAATTATAAATTAAAATCTCAAAGTATATATTTTTTCTTTGGCACTACTAATTAGATATCAGTCAACCGATTTGTTTTTTTTTTTTTTGAATATTAATGGTGAGACCATATCTCTAACTTTATTAAAATTTAATTTAATTCTTCTACAATAAAAAGAAACTCTTTACAAAGAAAAGAATCTATTTAAATTTTATATCCTAAGATAGCAAGAAAAGAAACTCAAACTAATTTATCTGC